TTAAGCAAAGTGGCATTCATGAATATTCATGATTCACAATATTCGACAAAATTGCATGTTCGCTTATTTTAATTCATGTTTTTGTCATTAACTTAAACTAACTGCTTAGATTCTGTTGAGCTGAGTCAACAATTGCTAAATGTTTTTGTTGTATTTGTATGTACACATATTTATATTAAAAAGTACAATTAAAAGAGCACCACTTAGCTAATATTTTAATATTTAATAAAACTGAAATGCAAAATTTTTGGTTTTAATTTTCCAGCGTATGTATTTGGCAACATTTAGGTGTCATTAATCAATTATAGTAAATTATAGTTCAGTTCTAATGACTTAATAGGTGCGAAAATTTCAATAATTGCGCTTAAAGAAGTGTTTAGTGAGTGTGAACAAAAATAAAACAAATAGAATAAGCAACTTCAATTTCTTTTCTTTAATATTAGTTTTAAATTTGTTTACTGGAAAAGTAATATTGCATAATTTATGGGAGTTCATGGTTTCTAAAGACACATTTACACAGTGACAGCTGTTCAAAGTATGTAGCATACAATTTAAGTGCTACAACAAACACCATATAGCAATAATTAGTTTAGCTGAAGTAAAACTGTTATCTTCAAAAATGTCTACAATTTTAATTGACCGAAAATTTTTATTAAAAACAGATTGCTTGGTTTAAAAAATGGTTATAAATATTATAACAGAAGAAACACATAACGCACATATATTTAAATTAATCATTTCATTCATATCAAAGCATATCATCTGCTTTACCGCAAGCGTTTGTGACGCACAGGAAAGCCTTTTTCATCGGCGATTAGTCAGCAATAGTATCATAAATAAATAATAACCAAAAAGAAAGCACAGCGATAATATGCAATAATTTCAGGTGCGCTTTGCTACAAAATTGTATTTAATGGGCGAAAATGGAATTACTAAGCAGTTAATACCGTGCTTTTTGTTATTTTTTCTTTTCCCTATAAAATAAAAATTTTGCAAAAAAAAGCAAGCAAGAATTTGTGTAATGGGAGTAAGGTTTTCGCACGCTGAATAACAATTAAAACAGTTTTTATATTTTCTGCACATTTAGTTGTTGGTTTCAGCAATTGTGTGCTGGTGTTAACTTAGTAAAGAAAATAATAATAATAATGCAGCAATATATGTATACAATGTGCATATGTAAGTTGGTAAATACATATGTATATCATATCTGTTTGTACTCACTAATACATACGGTTAAGTTATGGTATTGTTGCAGTGTTGGTCGCACGCGCTACGCATTTAGCTTTCTTCATGCCAAGCCATACTCCCACTTTGGCCAACAAAAAGTTGCAAAAATATAAAAAAACAACAATTACGTACTTGCAATCTACTTGGCTCCGATTAAGTATATATGGAGTACATAGCCACTTATACATATACATACAATTATTTATGTCTGCATTTATTTTTTGCACTCTCTTTCATTTTTCTACTTCTTAATGTCTTATGGTGCATGTGTGATCGGAGTTTAAGCACACTCTAGTTGGAATTCAGCGAGCAAAGGTGGCATTAAATCAAAATAAATTAAAAATTTCGGTGACAGGTAGCAATTGAGAAACTCAACAAGTGCCAAGAAGTAATATATAAACGAGAAAGATAAGAATTTTTTGTGAATTATTCAAGAATTCAGCTAGCTCTTCAATTTGTTTAATTTTATTGTTACTGATTGTCTTTGTTTATCAAAATTTCAAATACAACAATCATTGATTAAATTACTTGATTGTGCTATATATTTTAATTTAATTGAAATTAGGAAAAAAAGTTGTGCTTTCGTCGCATTTAAGCTAGTATCATCCACTACAAGCGCGTGACCTTGAGTTTTTTTTAAATTATTTGCAATTAAATTTACTAGTTCGTAAGAAACAAAGACAAAACCACAAAGCTTGCCGAAATTAAAAAAATTTGCATACATTCCAGGCGGTGGCTGCGTTGCCAATGAGTGCAATGTTAGAAAATATTTTTTTACTTAATATAATTTAAGCGAGAAAAGTATTAAGATTTTATGTAAAATAGCATACATTTCCAAAAGGCAAAATTGTGTTACATTACTAAAATGTGTTGCCAATATGGCTCTAAAATTATTACACAAGGTACAAAAACAAATATGTACCTCGTATGTAGGCACGAATATCCTACTTTCCAAGCTTAGCACGTCTGCGTTGCATTTTTTTTGCAATTTTTTTCTGCTGCAAATTTATGTATTTCTTCTTACAACTTTGGTATTTATCAAGGAGAAAGTTGCCCCCATGAACACAGAAACAGCATTTTTATGCAGACAAATTTCGTCTGCAACTTTGCGACAAAAGAATAAAACGAAAAAATGTGACACGAAAATTTCATAGAAATCATTAGTGGTGTGTTGAGAAATGGAGGAAAGCGGCATGTATACGTTCAAAAAGCCGGTTAGTAAGTATCCAGAAAAAGAGGATTTACTTGCATGGCAATAAAATTTGTCAGCCACCACCATACCATTACCACGCTTATCCATTCATCATAATATCCTGCATTTTTACGAGTAGCACGATTAGTGCTTTTTAATAATGTAAATATGTATATATTATTATTTCTGTACTCACCATCAACACGCGGCGACGTATCGTGGAAATGTTTAATCACATTGAGCAATTTCTCCCGGAATAAATATTTCAGGCTCGCCCATTTAAAGACCGTATCGCCGGTTTTCGCCACATACTGCAAATAATCGTCCAATTCCTTGGGTATCTCTTTTTGCTTTAGACGCGTGAAGCGTTCCAGAATTTGCATTACTTCTTCGGCGTTTTCCATATTAACCATTTATTTAAATGTAACAATAAAAACCGGAATGTAATGAATTTGTCTGAGGTTCACCGAATGAAAATTTTTGCTAGGTAGGCGTCTAGTTAACTCTAGCTTCCTATTTTTCAATATGATCCAAAATATATATTTAAATTTCGCAATATGTCGTCTTCCTGCTGTCGCTGTAAATGTGAATGTGGCTCTGGCTAGCTCGCTCTTGCCACCACAATGAAATTGATGATGATGATATAGACACACAAGAACGAAGTTCACAACCGGCAATGTACGTTTTAAAATTTTCGTTACTCTTCTCGCTGCACAATGACGAAGTTACTCTTGTCGTAGGAGATCGAAGTTGAGTTTCGTATTTTTTTATAGTTGCTTGTTTTTGCAAATGTGTGGCAAAACCAGCAGCAACAAATTTGCAAAACGAAAATACGACACAGTGAATTCCGTAGACCAGAGATACACGACCACAGTAATGACACCGACACTACCGACTGGGTACGGGTACGGGAACCGACAATGGACACGACAGCGACACAGATCGCGACGACTACAAAAAGGCACGGCACAACTATTTTATACGGGCGCGTATAGGCAGACTAACATGCACACACTCACGCACAGACACCAAACGGAACAGAAAGCGATGTGTGGCGTCAGACGTGCAATGCAAAAGCTGCTCAGTGGGACGAAAACTCCAGTAATAAGAGGAGACTCGATCTAAATGATGTTACAAGTGTTGGAGTCTAGGCTGGCTAAGAACACAATTGTTGGCACGAGTGATAATACCAACAGACAAGTAATTATTTTACAAAATTTTAGTAGCTACGTTCCGTGCTGGTGATGCGGTGCGTTGATGACTGCTGGATGTGCGCTCTCAGACTGAACAGAATCGTTGAATTACGAAAACCTTGACGATTATGCACAGCAGACATTCAGTTTGCAGACTGCAGGCGTCTCAGAGCAGACAACGAGGCCGGTACATAGGTGTTTGTATGTATAAGAAATGTGTAACTACCCGGCTTTTACAGCTGCAACTCTTCGCACCGGTATAGTAGTTGCACGAGCTTGAAACTGGAGTTCAAAAATTTATTTTACTGTTGTTGTGTCTGTAAAGACCCTTACTTGATGAGGAACAGGCGCAAAGAAGACAAGAGATTTTCTCTTGCCGACTTAATATGCAGCTGCTCCGGATACGGCTTACGATCTGAATGAATAGTACGTGCTGTTTAGGTGTGTGTGTTCGTATGTTGCAGGTAAAATTCTGATTTGTAATCTTGCTCCTGCGAAATGTAAATGCAAAGAAAGTACATAGTTATTATATGAATACATTTTTTGTATATACAATAAAATAATAATAAATTGTTTAAAAAGTATTTGTAGTCGCATAATTTATGTTAGCGAAAAATCTTGCTGCCGGCAGCGCCGCTATTAAGTGTAAGTGTAGTAATTGTACCTAGCTGTCGTGTCACAGATGTGGGAAAACGTAACTGACCTGATAAAACCAGTCACTTATATTAATGTTATACAATTCTTTACATTCAATTCAAAAGTTCACCAGTTAATTATATTTTATAGTTTTGAAATATGTATATAAAATTACTTTAGGGCTTCTGGCCAATAATATAAATTTGCAAGCTTCCCTTCCAGCGCGTTTAACAAAAGAAATCTGAGCGATGTTGCCAGCTGTTGTGTCACTATATGACATACTGGAAAGAGATACAGTGCTAATTGTATTGTTTTATATATATTTTACATTACTCTGTTGTTGTATATTAAATTCATTTAGATTATTTTATTAAGCTTTTTTTATTTCAAAAGGATAACGGTATATGCTTTTGCATTCACGCAGCTTATATTCATCCTTGGCTTATTTGCAAAAATCAGGTGGCGCTTATCACAGCTGCTTTGTAATTATACCAGTGCCACTCAAACTGTTTTATGAAAAGTAAACTTCCATGCTCTGTAGGAATTTTCATTAAAAAGAACATAAATAATTTATTTTGTCGAATATGAAATATTTTAATAGATAGATTGAATGTTTTGTTAATTTTAGTAAAATTATTATTAGGTACGATTGAGTTAGTAATTTTAGTGAGAATTTCGAAATGCAACTCATTGAAAACTATTTACAAATGATATATGTATATATACACTGTAGGTTTTTTTTTTATTAAGAAGGATTTGTTTAAATATTTAAGTAGTTGTCGACACAACATATGTAAGTATACATACATACATATGTTCAAAGTTATGACATTGCGCACTTACCTGCAGTCACGTGCCCTTCCTACATATATAGTATGTATATAAGAATATCAACTTAGAAAAATTTGGAAAAAGGAAGCGAAAATGCGAACAGCTGTTCCATTTATGGTCACACCTGCCTGTCATGATATTAAGATGCCTATGGAATCAACGATTTTACATGCTTCAAATGCATAAAAGACATACATATGTACATTTAGTATATACGTTTGTACCTCTTTTAACTCTGTAAGTAAGTAGTATAATATATGCAAGTAAAATAGTACTTTGCAACTTCGCTTGAGTTTTCCTGAATTTTTAATGCATTTATTCAAATTGCCTTTTGGGTAGTTTTAAAATAAATTTACAACATTTTTTATTACTAAATGCACTTGCTTTTTATGCATAATTATTTAATACAAACATATATAAACAAAAATATTAGGTTTATAGGTTCAAAGAATATTTTATATTATAATTGTTTTATTTTTTTTTTGTAACATAACCTAATTCAACTAATTTTAATTTTAGAAGAATATTTATAAAATTTTGCGTTACAATAAAAATTAAAACTATATTAATATAGTTTTATACCGTCTAATAATTATTATTTTTAATAACACACACGTGATTTGTTCCAAAAAGTGATTCTCGTAATTGTAATTGCTGCTTAGAAACCTTGAATTTGTAAAAAAAATGTGTTTTCGCTATAAATGCAATACGAAATAGGTGATTTTGTATTTATTTTGTTATTCAAGTTTTAACTTGTTTGGAAATATTAGTTAAATTGCACAAAAATTATTGCTTCTTAAATATACTTACAATTCTACAATAACACTAGTTATGGTTATTCCCACTTTTTTTCGATATAGTTAATACACTTTAAATGCCGCTAAGTTCTTTAATGACTAAGTCTAATAAATTGCTTTGTCTTACTTGTTACTTTAAGTAAATTGTCTTAATTCTCTAAGTTTGTGAAAATTTTATTTTGTGAAATTTTTATTTTAAAACAATTTTAACCATACTTTCAGATATACAATTAAATGAAAATGATTATTAAAAAAATATTAAACATTAATTACACATAGTTTACACAAAAAATTAAGAAACGTCATAAGGGGTTAGGTGTAGTCAGAATTTTCAAAAAACCCATTTTTCATTTTCTTAAAGTATGTCTTAGAAATATTCTATGAAGATTTTTTCAGTAAATCCTACAAAAACTTTTCGAGTTATTCAATAATTAGGAAATGGCTCTTGGGCGCTCTGGAACGTACATATGTAAGTGTAAAACTTTAAATGCGTTTTTTACCAAACTATGTTTTTTTGAAATGGTGACTATTGTAGCTCGAAAATAACTCCGTAGATTTTAATGAAATTTATACAGCTTTTGAAAACATGAAAAAGTTGTGTTCTGATCGAAGAATTCTTTTAATGTCGGTTTTTTATATAGCTTTTGTTTTTCCCGAAGATCTGGAAAAAAATTCCTCAGGCCACCATTTTGTTAATAAAAAAAAACATTAAAAAAATTATTTAAAAAAAGTTTCAATCAGGGCACCAGAGTATCTATTAATAGTACAAATTCTTTTTTCCTATTGATTTTAAATGACTATCCAAAGATTAGTGATGGTTACCGCAAAGAAATTCCGTTGGAATGGGATCAACAAAAACATATATGATATTTATATTTTTTTTTAATTTCTGTTAAGTTGTTAAGTAAAGTCGAAACTTCATTTAATGATGCTATGTTGTTAGTTTTATAAAATAAACTAATTTTCTCGCAAAAAAGAAAATTGTTCAAATTGTAATTTTTTCATGTATCTGAGTACACCTAACCCTAAGTAAAAATGTTTACAAAAGCTCATCTGCTTTTATTAAATTGACTCTTAATCTGGACAACTTAATTTCTGTAATAAAATGACATTTTATGTATTTTTCCAAGAATTCGCTTGAATGAATGAATGTAATTTCCATGAATTCGAGAATGAGATAAACGTCAATGATTATAATAACTGCCTTAAATAAAATGGTATCTGCTGTCGTTGGCAAATAAGTAATTTTTCAAATAAATACAAAAAAAATATCCGCCGTATGGTTCTACAACATATTTTACGCGCATCTCTTCTTCAGACATATATATGTATTTTCTTATGTATAAATAGTTTGCATAGAAAAGAAATCCTTGTGTAGCATTTTAGCCAGCTTGGAGGTTTTATAAGTGTACGCATAGCACAGCATAAAATAAAATAGTTCGAAACAATAATGAAATATCTTACGGACACCCAAATTACTAGGCACATTTCCTATTTTAAATATCATCTAGGCCACTTATCCTTTTTAGTGCATAATCCGGCACATTTACATATGTACATAGTACATGCATTTTACTATTTGTCCTTGTATCTTAAAATCTAGTCACCCAACAATGACGTTTGCAAATTTTGCGCGGAAATAATACATACCTACAATACCAATGCATTCGCTCAGCTATGTTCGCACATACCATAGTAGTGCATTCTACCTAGCGGGCAGTTTACCTGAATTTAAAACAGAGTTAAACGTGACCCAGTGAGGCATGTAAGTGTTTGGATACAGGGTGTGGAAGTTGCAAAATTAATTAGGCATATATATATTGTATATGTATTAATAAAGTAGTAATTTTTTTAATAATGATAATAATAATAATAAATATTATAAATAGAGGTTTTTTAAGTTTTAAGACTTAATGTTAAGCTTGAAGTTGCGAATTTTTTGATTAAAAAATTTTGATATTAATCCGATTTTTGGTATTAAAGTTTTTTTATTTTTTCATTCTGGTGTTTGGGACTAAATATTTAAAAAAGATTTTCGGGATTGCGAAAGGAAAAAACTTAATTGAATTTACATTCGAATTCATTTTTTTAGGGCATTATTTGCAAACCTGGTTAGGCATTATTAAAAAAAAACTTTTATAAAAGCAAATTCTATATGTGAGTCCAATACTGCTTATTAATAAACAGCTGATTGTCAAAAAAGTAAACAAACACAAATTGGTGAATTATCTCAAATAAATATTCGCAAAAGCTTTTCTTCTGTATAAATTGATTTAAATAAGTATCTTGTTCGAAACTAAATGAACTAAGACAATTTAAAACTTTTAAATTTAGCAATTGCTTTGCTACGTTCATCAGTGTAAGGAACATTTGAATTATTTTTTATTTATTTTGTAATTCCGACAATCTTAATTAAAATAATGTTTAAACTTTTAACCTCGATTTCCGGATTAAAAAAATTCAACCGGAATAAAAATTAATATTTAGTCCCACATACCGGATTGGAAAAGAGTTAATCCCTAGCTTATAATTAAAAATTAAAAAAAAAAATTATTTGTTATTATTGCGTAGTTAGTATTCCATCATTTTGCTGTTATTAAACGGAAAGCTTATTTTGAATAAAAATTTAATATAGTTTAGTTTGTTTTATTTATATTTAATTATTTTTAATTATAGTGTTTCAGTTAAAAATTGGTAAGTATTTCCTTTTTATCACTTTTCATTCCAGCTTTTAATTAGAAAAAATAATTTTTTAATTTGTTACTCCAATTTGTAGTTATAAAATATTTTCTTAATTTTAATCTAAGATGTTTTTATTATTAAATAAAAAAAAAAATTTTTTTTTTTCAAACGTCTTAGAAAACCGAATTAAAAGATAAGATATTTAATTGTTAATTCTGGTTTTAGGAGCATTTTTAATTGGTATTAATTAAATTTTAAAATTTTATCCTTGTCAAAAATCAGAATTTAATATCTAACACAAAATTTTTGAATAGAAACTTTATTACTCTTGTAACTCTGGTTGTATGTAGCAACGTTAAGAAATTTTTTTGCCAATTCACAAAAATGAATCATTACTCAACAAATATATGATATTACATAAAATTGTAATACCAAATGCTAAGAAATAATTTTCTTGCAAATATTTCAAAATTAATTTTCATTCTTTTTGGTTAAAAGATAAATAATTGTTTAATTTGCTTGGCAACAGTGTAAATAAAGTTGACAGATCAGCTTGTTTGACGTTTCTCAACATTTGAATGTGATTTAAAACAAATAGAAGTAACTAGAAATTATTTTGCATATTTAAACAGAAAGTTGTGCAAATGTTGGTCACAAATGCGTTGCTTATATTTAATTTTACCGTGTAGAATTGCAACATATTAATCTCACTCTATAAGTATTTAAACAATTTAAATCAGACTACTTATGAAATATTTAATTCTCATTCAAAAATATAAATAAGACTAATTAAGAAATATGTATATTTAATTCTTACGCCTCATCGCCATAAATTTTCGTCTTACATATTATACTTATTTTTTTCCAGCACCTACAAGTATGCCACAGCCCTCAGCGTATGTTTTTCAATTTTGCGTAACGCGCAATTCGATGCGTTTCTTAAGCGATTCGAATGTCTGCTGCATGTTGCGCATTTGAAAGCGTATCGATGTGGTGACGTCACGTTGCAACTGATGCACCTCACGTATATTTTGTACCAGATGATGATATTCCGCCTTGACCTCCTCCATGGACTCGAGCAGTTCCATGACACAAACGCCATCAACATCATCCAGGCTGCTAGTGTGATCCAATGTCGTTTCGACTTCGTGCAATTTGTGTGCCACCGTATAGAGTTGGGTGCCTGCGTGCGCGACCTTTGTGTATTTTATTGTAAGTACGTGCGACATGGAAGAGAGTAAGCAGAAGAGCATGAGTAAAGCAATATAATGTTGTGTACATACATGTATATATGTATGTATGTAGCTATGCAGTAATTTAAGCAGCAACAATGACGACATTAAATATTTGAGGACAATATCTGCAGAGGGCATGATAGTGTGCGGTTACAGGAAGTAATGAAGATAATGCGGTTCTTTGTATGAGTGCGGTAAAAATAAATAAAACAAACAAAACTATGCATTAATAAAGGCGAAGAGGTCACGAAGTAGGTCAGCGGATATAAATTTGAAATGAACCAGAATATCATAGTGTCAATAACTGTAAATGTATGCACTTATAATTAAGCCATAGTAGCAATAACTGTATTTATATGTACTTAAAATCCTGCACATATATGAATATTTACCGACTTTTCCAGCTCGCTCATATCCTGATATCCCTCCATTTCTAGTGCTAATCGTGTGTATATATTTGCAGGCTGCGACGCGTTGTTTATTCTTGTTTATAACTTTGCTGTTATTGCTTTATCGTGCAGTCTTACTAAATGTATATGCAATTTGTTTTATTCAAACAGATTACGATACACTTTTCAATTAGCTGCTGCTTTGAAATTGCTTGCGCTACAACAATGCTTTTGTATTGAAATTCTATGATTTTCTTACAGAAACTAGACGATTAATAGCAGTATAATGCTTCATTTTCTTATATGCCCACACTTAAAATTGTATATATTTTTAATTCGAACAATATTTTAACACACTTTTTCTACTTTCTAACACTCTTTCTTAAATATCAATGAATAAATATAAATATAATATGTTGTTAAGAGTATATTTTTAATATATTTTCCTTATCCTTTGCACAGCTCAGCTACGTCGCAGTCTTTAAATGTTAATACACGTTCCGCCCAAATGTCTATGCTATTTATACCAAACAAATACTTGTTATCCTGCAGCGACAATACACAGCTCTCCCAAAGTTTAACATCACTGTTTCAGCAGCATCTCAAACCCCTAACCTATGCCAATAAACTCACAAAACTTTCATTCCATCATTCCAACAGCTGCCATGCACAACATAAACATACATATGTACTATATACATATAACAAGCATCTTCACACTAAGTTTACGAGCTGACTCTATATTAGCTAGCGTTAAAAAAACAGCTACTTCCACCATGCGCCACCCACCCCTTATAACAGCGCTCTTATGGGAATGTAAATACAAAATGCGGTTCGTTCTCTCTGTTATTCTGTACTTAACGCGAAGGTTCAACGTGGCGTATGCGCAACATTTTTCTGCTATGGCGTTATGAGTACACGTATCTGTACATACACAAACAGTATGTGTGGTTTGTTTTCGTCATACCTCTTTCACAACTGCCTTACTCACACAACGTTTAAGTGTGTGTGCGTATGGATTGTATGGTTAGTCAAACAAGGAAATACCATTTGTATAACAGAATACGCTGCCATGTTTGTCTGCCATTTTAATAGACGCCGTACTAGAGATATGCCTACAAAGGCAACATTGATATGTGCTTTAATACGTGCATATGTGTGGTATGTTAAGCCGCAAATCAAGATATAGCTTTATACATAGCGTTTGTAAATATACATATACATATACTTGTATGCTTAGATAAGCTATGTCACACAAAACGGTATTTTTAAATGTACAACCAATGTTGGGTTGCGGTAATTTCCGGCTATTTAATAATTTGCGAGTCTATGATTAAAGTGAAAGCGTTCTAAATATACTTACTAATAACGGTACATATGAAACAATCGTATTTTAAGCGATTTAAAATTAGAAAATTTTAAAATGGGAAAATTTACAGCGCTTCAATATTATAAAGGTTATGTTTAAAATTAGAGAATTTTAAAATTAGAAAAATTTACAACGCTTTAATATTATATACATATATATATGAACATAGTTATTGAAAATGAGTATTTAGTCTCAACAGGTCAAATTAATTATGAATTACAAAAAAATTATATTTTAATTCCCAAAATAATATTATCTAAAAATAAAAGCTACTTACTTAGTTCAAAGTCTTGTAAGAAAATTAATTATTTCGTATTTTTTAACAGGAGCATAAAGGAGAAATCCGCATTCACATATATACATCAAATAGAATATTTCAATACCAGAAAAAGCGAAACTTAACCCAGAGAATGTTAACATTCTCTGCTAAAACTCCTTATATTTGAATATCCTATTATATGTATATGTAATTTTAAAATCTTTAGACCCTAAAAAGTCTTCGAAAATATCGCAATGGTAGTAATATGTTGGCAATATCAATACTGAACTCAAACTTTACATAAAAGAGTTTTCAAAAACGCTTTATCTAGCAAAATTTTGAAAAGTCAGTGATAAAAATATCCAAAAATATTTAAAATAACCGGATATTCGTAAATCAAATAAGAATTGATTGTGTAATGAAGAGTTATGCATGTTATCTGGATTTCAGCTGGGTCAACGATAGCAGAGAACGTATATAACTGTTAAAATTTCTTCTACCGAGCTAGCTGCGGTGAAATCCGAGCATCGCATCTTCTTATATTTTGACAATTCACACGCTGGTCCGCAATAGAACCAGTGTTCGCATTTTTTAGATATTATATTTGTGTACTATATTTAAATATATAGTTCCTGAAATAAATATTAACGGGTTATGCCTTGATAGAAAAGGTTTTATCAGAATAAGCAGATAATTTCTATCTAGATAATCGAAAATGAGAATAGTCCCAACTGAGGTTTCAAACAAATATCTATTATTAAAATAAATTACAGCTATTTTTATTAAATAGAGAATATATGTACACAGAAATATAAAATGTGTTTAAAAAACTCTTCCCTCCATTTGTGACGTCATCTGACAACTAATGGCTATACAAATTACATCAACTCTACTACGCTACATCACTACATCCCACAGCTACAACTACTGTTAAAAGTTTTGGTGGTACAATTCACTAGGCTCTTGATTGCGTAGCAAGATAAGAACACACGATGAGCGCAGAAATGTATGCTGTTACCTCGTCATTAGGCGGCGGAAATGATGGGATGGTGTTAAAATGGTAGATGCCCATGTTTATGGGCTCATAGGTCAGTGTTATTGCGCAGGAAGCAGATAAAAAGAGAATTCCGTGACAAACTGAGAGCACAACAAGCAGGATTAGATGGAGTGAAAGAGTATAGAAATGTTATTGAAAGCAAAATGTTATGTAGAAGTAGAATTTTTGTAATAAAAATACATATCTACATAAATACATACATACTCGGTAATTAATGCTTGCTACTTTATGCTATACTTTATGAGTTTTAACATTTATTAAGCTCTTCACACTTCCGCAAACTAGCTAATTTGAAGTTATAAGTGTCATTCACCTAAAAATAATTATCATATAAGGATAAAGTAGTATGTATGTCAACGATAGGATGACGGAGTGCTAAAAAACACTTGCTTTTGTTTACACCGAGTGTTTGCCATTTCTTTTATGAGATTTACTATTTGCTCATTCAAAAAGTTTCACTTCCTGTCATTGCTACTTTAAAGACAAGAAAGTAAAAGTGAATTAAAAGTAAGTTAACGAACGTCTATTTCAAACAATGATTTTTTTGCAAAAAAAAAAAACAAAATAGATAAGAGTCGCGCTCATACCATTATATTCCAGCGTTTCAATTATGCTTCTTCAAGCTCTATATGTTTTGATTAGTGGTGATGAGAAGTTGTCCTCCTCAGAAGCATTTTATAAAGTAACAGCTCTAATTTACAGTCACAAATCGATTTTTATTTACACAAACAAACCTTAAAATTTGTGTTTCACGTAACTTTATTTCACTTTATGCTTTCTGTTAGCAAAGTTTTCGAAATACATTAAATATATACATATGTATGTATATATAATATGATTGACAGGTTTTTTAAATAATTTTTAAACTTCAGCACAACACTCGAACGCAATAAAGACATTCAAGTGATTCGCATTTGTGGGTTACAATTTATAAATGTACTTGATTGCTTATAAAATTTGTTATTCTTGTAGAATATACTATAGTGGTTGCTACTAATCAAATATAATGCGACTTTAGATATTTTTTCTTAAATTCAATAATTTTATTCGCTTAAAGATTTCAAGAATTGCGTCAGATTTATATTCCAATTTAAAAAAATGGAAGTTCCATTTGAATCCAGCTGCACTTCCTTTTATCAAGGTCGCAATCACCAAAGTTCTTATAATGAAACTTTTTATTGAACCATGCTTTTTTATTATTAATTCAGTATCTTATTTAAAAATAATGATACTTGATTATTTTTATACAATACATTAGTTCACATTCTAAAAAAAATACACCAAATCAATGATAGATTTAAATAAACAGTAAATACATTCGTCGCATGTGGCAACACAACGGAACAGATGTTTGTTAATTGTCAACAATTTGAAAATTCTTATCAGGGCTTTGGTTGTGATGTGCAGTTGTCGTTGATTTTGTTTTGATTCTGTGATACATCAGCTTTGCATAAATTCTATGCGTAATTGTGGTGCTTAGTAGTTTAATTAGTTTTAATGATTACAACAATTAGATTACAAATAAATTGTGATACTTAAAAGTTGTTGTTACAGCCACAGTCGCATAGCATATACATATAAAACTTGCTGCAGCTCTGTAACATTTTCATCAATTAAGATAATTAATATGTGATAATAATCCAGACGGTATAAGTAAACGAATAAAACGATAACGTTAATTATAAAGAAACGCCAGCAAACTAATAGAGAAATTAAAAAAAAACTATCCGCAACTGAAATTGCTATTGGCACTTCTACAAATCTACCTTAGTACACACCTGTCTACCCGTAGTCTACAATTAAGTGGTGCTACGCTCAACTGCAGTTTCCATCAAAATCACTGCCATCTAATAACTGCCGTATGCATGCACAACACGCGACAATCAGTAGCCTATATACGAAGCCGGACTTCGCCGAATACACATTCAATGTTGCTGCCTAGTTCCATGTGCCTGTTATCAGCCCCTTTAACAACAGCTTTGTCGTCATTGCGTTTATTAGCGCCGACGCCGTTGTTATTGTGTAATCGAAATTTTAGCATGCAAAATAAAAATATTTGCACAATTGACAGTTCATATCGCGAGCACAGTAAGAATTGTTGTTTTAAGTACGTTGTCTCGTCTCTTTCACATTTGCAACAACCCATTCAGCTGCTAAGCGGTTGTCAACGAGTGAAAAAACTAACGCAAACGCGTTTTATTTCATCTACAAGTAAATTGTTTAAGTAAGTTAAGACCTATTATTGATGGAATATAGATAAATATGCTGAAAATATAATTGTTTTTCATGTTTCTTAAATAAAATGTTAACAGACAAAATTCCGGTGGAAAACACATGGAAGTGCCAGAGGGTGTATTCTGCGGTAGCGTTGATCGCTTCAACGGTGTACTAGTGGACTCGGAAAAAGAATACGATGAAGCCACCGATTTTGAAAAAAAGCTACAGAGTAAGTATACGAAATATACTATATGGGGCTAGATGAGTCGCTGTAACTTAGGGGAGGGCACAATAGACCATAGGTCGCGGTGCATACCTCAATCATTATCTATTCTATTCTATTCTAAGTATACGAAAAGTCGAACTTGAACATATTATTTTTAGGCATTAACATTAGGTGTATAAAGTACTCAGCATTTGACTCAACTATTTATGTAAAATATATATTATTATGTCGTAAATTAAATTAAATCAATTTGACAAATTAACTTTTCACCTTTAATTGTTTTTGATTTATGTAAAACAGCACAAACTAGCGAATTTGTCATGATAAATTAACAAACAATGTATTGGCAAAACATTTTAGAAAAAAAACAGTGATTATATTTGCCCTCTGAAAGGTTAAATAGATAGATATGTACACTTCTACATAACTAAATATATACATGCGTTTGCTAGAACTATTATAGACTGTATCAATCCGCTTCCATTAACTTGTTTAGTATAATATAAGTGTGTATTTAATTGCCAAGATAAGCAATTGTAAATAATTTTCATAAGCGTATACACATACATATGTATAAGTGCAAAGTTGCATAGATACAACAATTCTTGTTAGGTTTACAAAGAACAATATCTATACATATATATAATAATACTAAACTACTTTCGAATTTTAGTAAATAGCTTTGTAATTAGAAATTGCATATATTTGAATATTTATTATACCCTGAACATGGTGTATTAAGTTTGTCACGAATATTGTAAAACCCCGAAGAAAACAAAGGAGGCCCTATAAAATAGTTTTTGTATAGAAAACTTTTTATTTCACAAGATACCTTCACGAAATTCGGCTTGGGTTATTACCAAAGCTTTCCCGTTCCCACGACAGTCGGGTCAACGTAACCAAAACGGATCCGGATATTTATCCGGCCAAGGACTGTCAACTCGGCAGATTTCTGCCGCTACACCAACAATAACCAAAGGTAGTGCTATAGTCTCCGAATAAAAATAAAATAAAAAACATCGGAACACTATAGCATATAGCTGTCATACAAACTGGCCGACCAAAGTAAAGACGAAGATTACTCTATGCCTATTTATGCTGTAAGAAATGCACCTGCAAAGAATATTATAGCCTCGGTGCAGCCGAAGTTAACGTTTTTTCTTATTTATTTATTTATTTATTATATGAAAAATAATAATACAATTATTATTTTACAAAGTAAAAGGAGCACTAGCTTCAGAGGCTTTCAGCTCGCGGCTTTAATTATAAAGGTCTTAAATAATAAAAATGATAAATTCCGTGTAAAAAATATTTACAAACAATATGTTTTTATGCAATAAAAATTATATGTTATAAATAAATTTAGAAAAGGAAGGATTAGCTTAAATGTATTTTTTTAAATTTGTACGAGATAGGAATTCAGAGATTTTGGTAATATTTACAATAGATGTTACTTTTAGTAAATCAAGAGCTTTATTGTTTTGAAAGATACTGGTTCTTACAGAGTTGAAGTAGGGGCATTCATCAAGTAGATGGATTATGGATAAGGTCGGCGAGTTGCAATATGTGCAGGGTGGAATTCTGTTTCCATTTAATATATGAGAGTGCGTTAATGACGTATGGCCAAGACGAAGGCGAACAAAGGCCTTGATGTCATGGAATCGGCCTGAGGGTGGGTAGACAGATTTATTCCCGTTCTGATTGCAGATGGCGTAGTGATGTTGCACATTTTTCCAAGCATTAACTTTTATGGTTTTTTCCTGTGAAGCGATTAAACGGAATATATCCTTTTTTTCAATGGAGTCGAAGATAATCAATGGCTGTTTTGCAGCCAGTTTGGCGTTATGATCGGCCCATACATTTCCAGTAATGCCAGCGTGACCTGGGATCCACATAATTTTTATGTTTGTGTTACTAATTTGCGAAATTAGGTAAGACTTGTTGTTTCCATTTAGAAGAGCTGAGATTGTAGACTTGCTATCTGTGCATATTAACGTTTTTGTATTATAGTCACGAGCTAGAGGTAATGCATTATATATGGCTGCTGCCTCTGCCGTGTATACTGAGCAGTAGTTGGGTAATTGTCCAGCTTTTAACGTATTTCCAATGTTATCAACAATAGCAAAAGACGTGTAGAAGTCGGCCTTGGAAGCGTCCGTAAATATGAGCTTCCAGTCTGCGTATTGTTGTATAATGAGTTCTTTAAAAAAACTTTGATATACCCTGGAATTAGTGTTCTTCTTTTGATATTTTTGAAGTTGTAGCTCAAACGAGGTTTTTTTAAGTAGCCATGGGGCAGCTGAGATAAAGTTTACAACCGGTACAGATGAAATACCTAGATCTTTAGCTAGTTTGATGCATCTAGAGATAGTGGAGCCAATATTGGAGTTTGTTTCATCAGTCCATTTGGCTTTTACTATACCATATAAGAGGTTACTATTGCACAATAGCAGTTTTGGAATACGTTTTTGTGTAGTGTTCGTTATTCTTTCGTCGATAGATGGGAGTCCAGCTTCCGTTAAAATAAACTTTATTGGTGATGTCGGAAATGCACGAATACTTCTCCTAACAGCTGCATGATATGGTGCAAAGATTTGCTTTATATTGCTTTTTGCACAGTTGCCGTAGATAGGGGGACCATAATCTATCTTAGATAAAATTAAAGCTCTTGTGATATTAATAAGAGATGTGATATGTATTGAACAATATTTTGATGATAAATACATAATTATATTAAGCCTAGAAACTAGTTGTTTACGAAGATGTGTACAATGTTCCTTAAAAGTAAGTCTCTTATCGAATATTAAACCTAGAAATTTAAGTCTAGTAGTATTTACAATATTTACGTTATTATACTGTAGATTGAAGTTATTACATTTGTGTTTTCTGCAAATATGGAATAATTTACATTTGTTTATAGAGATATTCGCACCTGAGCCATTAGCCCAATTTGAAATTTCGGTTAGGATATTTAAGAAAGTTTGTTTTACAATATTTAGGTTGTTTTGTTTGGAGAAAAGCAGCACATCATCCGCATAAATAATATGTGAGATGAGCTTATGTTTAGAAATGATCACACTAATTTCTTTAAATGCGATTACAAACAGTATAACAGATAGTGGTGATCCTTGCGGGATCCCGTTGTACATATTGTACGTATTTGAAAAGGTGTTATTGATTTTGGCCGTGGTTTTACGATTAATTAGGAAAGATTTAACAAAATTAAATATTTTTGCACCAATTTGCCACTTCTCAAGCTGTTGTAAGATAACGTGCAAACCAACTCTGTCGAAGGCTTTTTCGAAATCCAAACTGAGAGTAGATACGTGATTTCTTTTCGATAAAGCAGTTTTGGCGAAGTCTTCGAAATAAAGTAAAGCATCTATAGTGCCTTGCCCTTCCTTAAACGCCACTTGGTTTGGGGAGAGAAGGTTGTTTTTTAATGCGAACCCAGAGATTCGTTTTGATAGAATTTTTTCTAGTACTTTGCCCATGCAGCAGAGGAGTGATATAGGTCTGTAACCGAATACGTCTGTTGAGACATTATTGGATTTGGGAATGGCAACTACCACTGCATTTTTCCAGCTTTGGGGGTAGACACCTTGACATAGGATATTGTTGTATAATTTAATAATTCTATTTTTGAGACTTGAAGGGCAATTTTTAAGCATGGGGTATGAAATTCTGTCTGCACTGGGAGTCTTGCCTGACATTGATTATATTGTGAAATCGAATTCGGCGATGGTTATGTCTGATTCGGTAATAGGTACAGGTGGGTTGTCTTTACTATACATTCTTCTAAGAAGTTCGTTTTTATTTAATACAAAGGAGGAGTGGAAATTTGAGTCGCTCGAGTAGTCGGACCATACAGATGCGAAATGATTAGCTATCTCTTTTGAATCGAAAATTGGGCCATTCGGGCTCATGATACATTTAAGGTTAACTTGCGAATACGAGCCTGATAACATTTTTATGTCGGCCCATAGTTTCTTGGGGCTTGTTAAGGGAGTGATCGGTAAGTTTTTGTAGGCAAGTCCGCTTAGCTTCTTTAATATTTTTTCGAAATACTGCATTGGCTTTTTTATATTTTATCAAATTGTGGATAGAGCGAGTTTTTTTGTATACTGTCCATAGTAATTGTTTTTCTTCTCTTAGTTTTGAAAGCTCGGTAGACCAATAAGGCACATGACTTTTGAAAGTTTTTTTACCCGTTTGAGAGATAGAGAAGTGGGCAGAGGTTTTAATTATTTTGGTAATCGTAGCTGTTTCTTTATTTATATTATTGACAGAGGGATGTGCAGCAGAATATCTTTCACAAAGTTGTTGAAATTTAGACCAATCCGCCTTGTGCAACAGAAATTTCGGCTTTGCCGAACCTTTGTTAGATAAGGGGGTTGATAGGTGAGTTATAATAGGAAAATGATCACTGTTATATAGTTCAGTTAAGGATTGGCTATTTAGTTTGGGTGCGATAGCAGAAGAACAAAGGACCAGGTCTACATTCGTGAACGAATTGTGTGTAGAAAAATGTGTGGGAGAGCCGTCGTTTAAAATAGTTAAGTTCTCCGCTAATATAAGGTCTTCTAGGATTTTACCTCTTTGGTTAGTACATTCAGAGCCCCAAAGAGGACTCCAGGCGTTGAAATCGCCAAGTATAATTAGGGGTGTTTGAATAGGTCTGATTATATCGCGGAGTTCTTTGATATTGAAGTTTTGATGTGGTGGGATATAAACTGTTAGGATGGTTAGTTTAAATCCAATAAAAATTTCCACTGCTATTGTAGAGATATTACAATATGTAGGAAGAAATTTGTGTGGGATATCTTTTTTTATCAGAGTAGCAACTCCTTGCTTACTAGTAAGGTTTTTTGTTAGGTTGGAGAAATAGGCAGAGTATTGTTTAGGTACTGCAGCTGTGGTGTTAAATGGAAGGTGTGTCTCTTGCAATGATATAACAGTTGGGGATTGCTCTTTTATGAGTAACTCTAGGTCAGTGTAATTGTTGTAGAAACCGTTCATATTCCATTGCAGAAATTTGAACATTTCTTAGCGATATGAGAAAAGAGAAAAAATTGAGAAGGAATTTTGAGAATTATTGATCTTCATTATCTGATGTGATAATTATGTGAGGAGAGATATTGCACGAGTAAGTAGGTGGAGAGAGATCGAATTTGTCTGAAGAGAGAGAGTGAGATTGGTTGATAAAAGAATCGGTAATGGACTTTTTTGGAATGAGTGGAATGTTTACTTTGGTTGAGTTTGTTTTTGTTTGGGGAAACGTTAAGTTAGGATTGCTTTTAGTTGTTTGTTTTGCAGTTTCAATTGGTGAATTTTGGTGGGTATTAATTACATAGCAGTTATTGCTCTCTTTTGAAGTTTTCTTTTGTTGTGGAAGAAGATCAGTTGTTGGAGATTGGTCTGTGGGGAATGGCCGGGGGGGAGATGGTGAGCGATGATTAATCACGTTTGTACTTTTTTTGTTTGTATTTTCTTTTGTAACAGAAGCGAAAGAAGAGTTTGTGGTTGTGAGGGGTAATTGTTCTTTGTATAAACTTAGTGCTTCTCGCATTGAACATTTTCTTTCTGTTTTTATTTTTAAAATATTTTTCGATTGAAGGTATTTGGGACAAGAGCGTGAAGAGGAAGGGTGATCGCCTGAGCAATTTGCACAGAAGGTGCGGCTGCATGATGAAGGGGGATGGGGTGGGAAATTGCATGTGTCGCATGTTGGGTTGTTGTTGCAGCGTTTAGCTGTGTGGCCTAGAAGTTGGCAACTTTTGCACCTCATGGGGTTTGGGAAATAGGCTCTAATCCGTATTGTGCGCCATGAGACTTCGATTTGTTCGGGAAGTTTGTAGAGGTCAAATGAAAGGAGAACCACTCCGCTAGGTTTTTGTTTGCCTTCCAGATTTTTAGTGAATTTATAGACGGAAGTAACTCCCTGATCTTTTAAATTATCGATAATTTCTTCTTCTGAAACGTCGTTTAAGAATGGCGCATATATTGTACCTTTAGAACAATTCAAATTGTCATGTAGTTTCACAGAAATATCACAAATTCCATGTAATTTCTTTGTTGTTAAAAATTTTTCAGCAATTTTCCGGTTTTTAACAAGTAAAAGTAGATTACCATCACGCAATTCAGTGATAGACACAATTTCCTTACTAATTGATTCTAAGCTTTTATGCACAGCGAAGCAAGAGTATTTGGAAAGTGATTTGTTCGAATCTGTTGCGGAGATAAGAACGAACTTAGGGCAATCTTTTTTAATTTTGGGTAGTTCTATTTTCCCCGAGGTTAGGAGGCCCTGGGGCCATAATAAACAAAAATCACCAATATACACTGGTTTTTTGTACGCTAGCAACGCGAGTTACCGTACGAACGAAACAAACCAAAAGCACGTGCACTTATATGCAAGGTGAATTACGAAAACAAGGTGAAAAATCAAGAAAACACGTCCGCTCAATAAGAGAGATAGTCGAAGACTGCGTTTTTTCTTGTTTTTATTGTTATTCTTCCGTGATAGATATACACATAGATTTTTTAGTTTACTCGCTACAAAAATGCAATTTAATTAAATACATACTTTCTTAAAGAATCTTTAGACCACTGGATTTCCATTAAACGCCGCGCCATTTGGTTCACATTACAGAAGGAACATGCAGCATGGGTGCCACATTTATCTAAGGTTTGAATATACTTATACATATATAAGTATGTATGTAAAATATTTTCCCCTTCTCCTATTACTTGTCACAAATTACTTTATTTTCTAATTTGTAGGCCGGCTTTGTATTCCATCATGTGGACACTACCTGCTCCTCTCTTGTGATGTATCGCTGGCTGCCAACCCACGAATCTGCCAATATACCAACTTTTTGCCATACAATGCTTGGTGTTGGTGGACTTGTTGTTAATGACAACAATGAAGTGTTAGTTGTTAGTGACCGCTATGCATTAATAGCAAATAGTTGGAAATTACCCGGTGGTTATGTCGAGCCAGGTACGTTATGTACACTTTATTTATTTATCTAACGCGTTTCTATTGTTGAACAATTATAGGCGAGGAAATAGTAAATGCAGCTATACGCGAGGTAAGGGAGGAAACCGGCATTGACTGTGAGTTTCGTACCGTTATTAGTATACGACATTCGCATGGCGGCAACTTCGGCTGTTCGGATATGTACATAGTTGTTGCATTGAAGCCACTCAATCACGAAGTGCATAAATGCGAGCGTGAAATCGCTAAGGCACAATGGATGCCGGTTAAGGAGTATTTACAACATCCTGACGTACACGAGACAAATCGTCACTTTATGCGCACCTATTTAGATTACAATAAACGTAATATACGATTTACTTATGAGCGCGCCCAGCATCGTGTGCTGAAGCGTGAGTACACGTTATTTTATATGAAACCGATTGAGGAAAAAAACGAAAGTTGAGTTATGTAATGACAGTTTTTATGCGCAACAGCACTTTCCATCCATCAAAGGAACATTATAATTTTTGAGGTTATGTAAAGTATGATTTTTAAGTAATGAAAAACACAGATAGATCAGATTAAATATAATATGTATTCCACAAAGTGGCCTTTCAAATTAACTAAAATAGAGGTTATCAAACAATAACAAAAATTAATTTGCGATGTGTAAGGGAAAATTGGTACAAATAACTTTATTGGAAGTTAACTAAAAAACGCCTACATTTTTATAAGTAACAATGAAATACCTTTCGAAAACATGCACCAATATGTGTTGTTTTTATTTATTTCCACATTTTTTAAGTTTAAATGTTAAATTTCTTCCATTGTTGTCGAAATACTATTTTAGTTTTTATGATTTGTTAAATTGTTTTACTAAGTTTATAATAAAAAAATAAAATAAAACAAATTCGTATTTATTTTGTTTTTAAGTAGCACATTGTATGTAATAAGTGGTGGAATGAATCGAATGCTTGTTTGTTGCGCACTGTGTATGTGAGCATTGTGACGGCTGTCGTCAGTGTAGTTTCGACTTGATATTCCTGGCAGATGTTTAGCTTTAATTGAGTGCTAAGGCTGATTTCGTGTGAAAAACGACTTTTGGGTTTCGGATTGCTGTTTTTTGTCGGAACAGCCGATATCGGACCACTATAGCATATAGCTGGCATACAAATTGGACGATCAAAAACGTGATTTGATTTGAAAAACTTTTTTAATTTTTGCTTGTATGTAGGTCCAGGGTAACACTACACTCTTCGAACAAATTTTTTTCAGATTGGACCACTGCAGCACATACATATGTACGGTCATACAAACTGGCCGATCAAGATAATGTTTTTGTATGAAAAACTTTTTTATTTGTAAATTTTTTTTTGTTTTGGTTTTAAATTGTTTTCCCCTGTCTAAAATGCGTCGTTCAAGTAAAAATAAATGATATTTAACTGAATTCAAGACTATTCATATATCATAGTAATATAATATTTTAGAATGCATTAAATATTCTTTATGATGTGCAGTTTTATTGAAATATAAGAAATTCAATGAACTCATACGAAAACAAAATGTAATATCTGGGTTTGTTTCACTTTTTATAAAACTTAAATATATACTTTAAATCAAACTTAGTATTAAAGTAATTCTTACATTTCAGTAAAGCTGCAACATATGTATTGTATGAATGGCAAAAGGTCTCAAGTAATACAATTTTGGGAATTTATAACAATTGTACAACTGAACGAATATACACCAACTACCGTAATTAATTTGATATTTAATTTTTATATAAATAATATAACATGATTAATATTCAATGTTACTGTTAAATTATATGAATCAATAGCAATTACATTACTTGAGTATATATTTCTATTTTTTAATTTAACAATTACTTAAAAACTAACAACTAACAGATAAATCTTTTTTTTTTTTGTTAAGGGGTTTAGTTCATTTAAATCGGAAAAATCTTTTTTTTCTTATTAGACAAAATTAGATTTGATTTCGAAGTCGTTAAAAACAAATTTCATGTAATTGAAAAGCGCGTTGACCACGTGTCAGTAGCTTGTCAAAACTTTGAAGCGCGTTGTCTGGAAACCATGTATCGCACCTATCAATCTGAGATATGAAAAAATGTTCTATGTGAACCAGAGATCCGAATAATTTTCATAGGTGAAAATATGTACAAATTTTAAGTTGAAAATATGTTACAAAGTTCAAACCATGATTCAACTATATACGGGCTGTGTTCTTCCGAAGTATGCTTTCTCTTACAAAAGAATTTAATCCATAATATCAGAAAAACTTTTTTGTTGCTTTTTTCTCGAATTTCTTGTTTAGATTTTGACGTGTTTGTGTGATTTACAACAATTGGTATACAGTTATCACTCAAAAACACATTTTCATTGACTGGAATGTTTGGAAAATATATTTTTGTATCATAAAAATAAACAAAACAGCCAATTTTGATATTAAGATTTAAAATGCTTTTGACACAACCTTCTATAACTCAATCATGGATTCATATAGAGTAAAAAAGTATAGAAATTAACTAGATATTTATATGCATTGATACCCTTTGAATGATTTGTCTACTTGTTATTCAAAAAACACGGCTTTTTTTGGTCTCTAAATGATCCGACCCCCATAATATAAGCAATATAATGAGCGTTTATAATTCTAAATTAACGAAGTATTTAACTTAAATTGCATTGCATCTGTGTAACATAATGTCTGTCTAAACGCGCTGCGCGTTAGCACTTGTGCTAGCGTAGTGATTGTCATTGCATTCTATAAGCAGCTGATAACTACGCGCAAAATGCCTTTGCGCAGCAGCTGCTTGTCGTGGCTGTTGTTGTTGTTGAGCGCTTTCTTTCAAAGCTACAAAGAAATCGTATTATTATTGCACATGCATGTTTATTAAATTGCACATACTGTTTACCACTTTTCAACTTTCCATTGACGCGCATATAATTGGGCGTGATGTAGGCTGCGCAGGTTTCTTTTATGTTTGAACAGTTTCCATATTTGGTTGCTGGTGAGCGTCCCAGCAACGATTTGTGTATGTTATACATATCAGCATCATCCAACAAACGGCGCGAAGGCAAACGTCTTCGCTGAGCGCGTCTGATAGCGGAAGATGTTAGCGCATTACTGGAATAGGGGCGTACATGATTCGGCGTTAATGCTCTAGCTTTGCAATTAGTACGGGTTTCTGCGTCAGCAGTTGCATTTTCTGTTACGCTGTCGTGACTGCGCTTACGACTGAGAGTTCGCTTTACTGTACTGGCAGTGTCTGACAAAGTATACAAAAAAAATGTTTAAAAATTAAAATAAAAAAATAAAACAATTAAAAAATTAAAACAATAAAAAAATTAAAACAATAAAATAAATAAAACAATGAAAAAAAATTTAACAATTAAAAATTAAAACAATAAAAAAATTAAAACAATAAAAAAAATAAAACAATAAAAAAATTAATAAAAAAAATAATCCAAAAAAAATATTAAATAGTATAAAACAAAACAAAAATATTTAAAAAATTATATATAAACAACATAAAAAAAATTAATAAATAATATAAAAATATTTAAAACATATATACAAAAAAAATGAAGAAACAAAACAAAATATAAAATAAAACAAAATAAAAATTTATAAAAAATAAAAAAAAACATAAAAATAAACAAGTAAGGAAGGGCTAAGTTCGGATGTAACCGAAAATTTTATACTTTCGCAAAGTCAAATGGTATACTCGTTTGAGATTTCTTTGTGGATTGACTGATATTTTCGGTAGAAGGTCAACTATAGGCACTGGGGCCCACATATTTAGTACTTAGAGGCTTGAACAGTTTTGGTTCGATTTAGACAATTTTTGGCCGCAAGGTGGCATACTTTAATTGCATTATTCACGCAAAGTTTTACCCCGATATAATCATTGTTACCTGATTTGCATAGTGGAAAGTGAAAGAATCAAGTGGTATTTAAAATGGTGTCATATGGAAAATAGGCGTGGTTGTAATCCGATTTCGCCCATTTTCGCACTATGACATAGAAACATGAGAAGAACGTTATGCACCGAATTTGGTTGAAATCGGTTGAGCAGATCTCAAGATATGGGTTTTCACTTAAAAGTGGGCTGTGCCACGCCCACTTTCTAATTTTGAACGCGGTTCCTATAAAGTCATCTTATACCATCTCAGAGATAAAATTTAATGTCTCTGGCGTGTTTAGTGCTTGATTTATCGCGCTTTCAGTAGTTTTTAACAGTACCGTTATATGGGGAGTGGGCGGAGTTGCCACCCGATTTCAACTATTTTCACACCGTCAATAGAAGTGCTAAAAACATTTGCTTCTAGTGAATTTTGTTATTATAGCATAAGCGGTTTAGGAGCTATGCACATTAAACCTATTAGAGGCGGGACCACGCCCACTTTTTAAAAAAAAGTTTTAACTGCAGATGCCCCTCCCTAATGTGATCCTGTGTACCAAATAACAGTCTTGTATCTTATTGCGGAGCTTAGTTATGGCAAGTTATTTGTTTTTGATTAATGGCGTTTTGTGGGCGTGGCAGTGGTCCGATTACGCCCATCTGCAATACCAACCGTCTCACGGTACCAAGAAACATGTCTACCAAGTTTCATAAAGATATCTCAATTTTTACTCAAGTTAGAGCTTGCACGGACGGACGGACAGACAGTCACCCGGATTTCAACTCGTCTCTTCATCCTGATCATTTATATATATATACCCTATATCTACCTCGATTAGTTTTAGGTGATACAAACAACCGTTAGGTGAACAAAACTATTATACTCTGTAGCAACAGGTTGCGAGAGTTAAAAATAAAATGAGATAATAATTAATTATATAATATAAATATTATTTATAATAATTGAAAATTTAATGTTGCTCTTACCGGTCTCGTGGCAGTTTTTTTTAACATCAGCTGCATTTTGGCGTTCAATGCTACTACCATAGTACATAGAAGACTTGTAGGAATCCTGTGAGCTGGTGAAGCTGCTATTATTAGCTGTTGATTTAAAGTCCTGTGTTTCTCCGTCTATTTCTTTAATTGTATCAATTACATTTACAGAATTAAGTCGTTGCCGCGTGCGTTTCGCGATGCAGCTTGTGTCCAATGGATCCGGTTTTACTTCTTTCTCGTCCACATTTTCAACATTGTTGTTTTCAGTTTGTTTATGTTTAGTTTGCGAATTGAACTTTACTTCATGTAACAGTTGATAGAAGTAAGTCATCAAACCACTACCATATTTCTCACCATAACTGCTTTGTTGTTCACCATTTTCATTTCGCTGAACACGTTTATTGTCCGAGTCTGCATAACATTCATACTCAAAAAAAGTACGCCCTGGGCTCCGCTGGTATGAGTTTTGTGAGCTTAAAGTAATGTGTTCATAGGCATCATCATCTTCACTAATACTTTTGACTTCAGTTTTAGCTTCGATTTTTTTCATTGATCGGCGACGCGTACGATTCGCTATACAGCTTATATCTAAAGGTCTTTTGTAACTCGTTGCTTCTGTGCTACCCACACGGTTTTTCATATTAACGGTAGCTGCGTCATTACAATCGTCATACTCAAAAACTTGAAAGCATTCGGATGATTTGTATGATGTTGTGGATTTACTATCGTCTTCCGATTTCTGGTCTTTAAACGCGGGTAGAGATGCTGCACCAGATGTCGTCGCGTCGCCAACTGTATTAATATCAAACACAAAAAAGTTATATATATTTTTTTTTCACCAATAGAAATAATTTATATTACCTTTGTGTTCAATTTCGTATTCTTGCATATTAATGGAATTTTGCTCTTCAACAGCATTCACTAGCCGTTCAGCATCGCTGCACAAATTAACACATTGCATTTCGCAATCCATCGTCTTATCAGCAGAGTAATTTACAACCTCAACAAGTTCCATTGATGGCGTTGAATTTTTATTTTCAATATTTCGGTGTTGAATTATTACAGAATCATCTTCTACCTCGCTAGCACTGCCACACACATCTATATCTAAGTTTTCATCTTCGCTTTTATCTGCGTCTTCACCGTCCGTTTGTTCTATACCATGTTGTTGGTCGTCCATAGTTTCCCGCACACTATCAGCACGCAGTATGCTTTTGCAATTGTCACATTCAAATGTGTGGCTTTGTTGCGACGTACAATGAAGATGCATTGCTACAGAACCGCATGTTACACAATAGAGGAATGGATTTGAGGTCTGCGATTGAGTGCGTCCCTTTGTGTTATGACAAGTTTCCGCCACACATACACTGGGTCGCTCAAGCAGTTCGGCATACGCATTGGGAACCATCTCCCACTCGGCATCCCTAAAAACAAAAAAAATAGAAACAATTAAATATATATTTCGAAGTTAGCAAGTACTAGAAAAATTTTAACGGTCACCTACTTCTCTTGCACGAAAATACCACTCAGTGACATATTTCGTTTAAAATTATTATTATCATTGCAAAGCGGACATTTAAAAAAATATCCTGAATTTTTAGCAAATTGTTGTAGACAGAATTTGTGAAACCAACCATTCCGACAACATGGTGCACGTATCATATTGACGGCACTGAAGCGTGTGCTTTTATTGAAGATTTTTTCAAAGCATATACAGCACTCATCGTCTTTTTTTGGACGAAAGTTTACTTTGCGTACATGACGATGGCAGAAAGAACGAAAACTATGAATAAATTGATTCATGGCACCATTTTCTATACCACAAATCATGTGAAAATTCACGCGACAGCGATTCTCACAACATCCAATGTTGGCCATCACTTCTCCGCAATAACAGCATCGCTGCAATTAAAAATAATATATTATGAATAAACGACTAAAAATGTTTTAGTGGCACTTACAACAGTTGATACTCGTTTTCGCTCTGCCGCAATATCATTTGGTAGAAATCCCAAAATTCCTTCGTTATCTTTACCATTTTGTGCAATGGCAGAAGATAAATACTACGGCAATGAAACAAAGAAATTGATTTAAATAAAATTGTTGTACAAAGTTAAAATATTGGAATCAATAACAAATAGTTAGATTTTGCATGCACATAACCGTGCTTATACTAACCAAACAATTGGTATGCACGCCCTTTCCCTTTTTTGTGAGAAACTCGCCATATTTAATACTGTCTCGACGACTTGAACCGCACAATTCGCAGTTCATGCTTACATTTAACTTTAAATTTTAAATATAAATAATAATAAACGTTGTAAAGTTTTGTTCCACTAATAATATTGCCCGCCGTTTTTATGTATTACAAATGCCAAGCTACCGAAGTTAGCTGCTGTTTTCACAATGCCATCTTGCGGTTTCAACAAAAACAAAATGCTTATGCAAATTCACTGTATTTTTCGCATATTAGCAATTCAACAATATATTTGAAATAAAATTTATAATATCTAATTGTTTTATTCACAATTCCCAAAATTTTTATAAATTTAAATAAAATCTGAAAATTTCTTGTCAAATATAATAAACAGCAACTCTGTTATGAAACAATAAGCCCCAGCTGTTCACTTCTTCTTCTGCTTCTGATTGTCAAAATAATATATATGTAGGTAGGTTTTCATAGATTTTTAACTTCTATTTTATTTTATAATAACTTTGATGTTTGCATTACAAAATTTAACTATTCATCTTTTCCTTTTGTATTATCAAATTCCGACTCGCCGACAACATTAAATCCTGAGAAACGTATAATTTTTCCTTTATTCACATTCAATTGTGTTGCATATTGCTGAGCTGGTGTTAATTTAGCTTCCTCTTCACTCTTATAACCATAATACTTCGCCCAATCATTTCGACCGGTATAGACCATGTAGCAAACAAACCCAAAAGCATTCCATGCGAGTAGTGCATAAGCGACACTTAGGCGTCTTTTCCACAGAAGTGCATTGTCCTGCGGTATGGGGTTTGTATGCCTACGTACCCAACGTCGCAGCCATTTCAACTCAAAGAGTGCCATTGTTTAAAAGCTGAATATTTTAGTTTTATATAAAAAATACACTTTCTTTGAATAATGTTTCTTTCACTCACTTCTGTTACATTAAATTGGAGATCGACAAGTGAATTTAAGGGACTCGGTTAAATCAGCTGATGTTATCAAACATGTTGACAAATAACCCACTAAACATAAAATGATTATTCTAAATTGTGTTACGTATAAATATTTGTGCTTTTAAATCGATGGCACTTTTAAACACTTTGAAATGCTAAAATAATTATTTATTTTGTATATAGATATATGAAGTTTAAAGTTTCTCTGCTTTTATTATCATTTACAATTGGAAACTATTATGTTTAATATCGGTATTAAGGATACGATATTACAACGAGTAATTAAAGATTTTCTAATAGTTTATAGTGTTTGTATAGTAGAAGTATTTTAATAAGTATATTAATGATATCGTATTTAAGTCACAGACGGAAAACCGTGTCAAAACCTGCATTTAACCAACACTACCAGATCCTTGCTCATTTTTCAACCCCATTAATAAGCATCTGATACGGCAACATTGTTTTTAATTTACGTCGTCATACGTTTTTGTTTATTGTGGAAATTGGAATTATTCTCCAGCAGTTCTCTTATTATACATTTATCAATTTTTGTTTTTTGTTTTATGCAAAATTGTTAATCTAACCGCAAAAATAAAATACAATAACTAATATCATATAATTTATACACTGAAATTCAACTAGTATTTCCAATAATACAATTTTCACAGCTACCAAAACAATTAAAACAAGCATATACAAATAAATATTGGAAATTTATTATTAATAAAAAAAGTGCAAAGATAAAATCTATTTAGCCAGACGACCTTCCAGTCAAAGAGCACCAAGTAACTTAAGGAAAACGTATAATAACTATCTTGTTATGTGTATAATAATAAAAGTATAAAATAAGCATTTTAAGTAGAAGTAAAGAAAAGTTGGCGGTTAGTAACCACAACTGTAAAGAAGCTGTAACTGAGCTAAGGCCTGAATAATTTTGTATCTAAAAATGCTTCCGCGGCAGCAAACCGCACAGCAACAGCAAACACAATGTAAGAATTTGGATTTTCGCAAACGCCAAATAGATACACTTAAAGTATTCAATGACAAGTAAGTAGTTATAAAATTTTACTTAATTATGTTTATTAATTTAATTACAATAACATATTTTATAAAATATTTGCTTTACAGTGTTGTGGAAGTGGCAGAACAAGAAGAGTATTGTATACATTTCGAATCTAGTGGACGTACATTATTACTTACAGTCCAACTCGGCGTGAATTTTCCCAATGAGCGACCCAAAATAGTTATATCACCAACTGTACAACATCATTGGGTTAATGCGGCGACAGGTGAAGTTGAAACGGCGCCTGGATTACTCAATGTAAGTGTACGGGGTGATTAGAGTAATGAAGGGCCTTCTTTATCCTTACTTCATATGCAGTTATGACCTCTATTTCAAATCTAAATGTAGCGGTCAAGGATGCACTGGAATTATTTAACAGCTGCTGTTTGTTTCTATAAAACTGATTGACAGTTGTTTGACCTTCATATTAACGATTTTTCATCAGAAATATTTTGCCTGTTTTTGTACGCATTCAAGGTTCCATGCGCGCACACTCATGCGACTATCAAGGATAAGAAGCCAATACTCAAGCATACAGAAATATTGTACATACATATATGCAATTGTGTATATTTTTGTAAATATTATAATATTAAGCATGCATGATGCTGGATTGACCATACATGTATTGGACCTTTTGTCAGTGCAGATTTCCGGTTATTTTTTGTTTTAATTACCGGTATTTATACATTTCCGTGAGGGCATTCACAGTTTATTAAAGTTTGAGCTTGCGGGTTTATTGGAGTTGTTGTAAAGATATGTAATATTTTTGGAACATATTTTTAAGTGCTTTCCAGGTATACATATCGGTTATATAAATATGTTAATAATTTTTCTTTATTTACAGTACTCTCCACATTCCGATCTGGGTCGCGTTGTGCAGGCAATTATACGCGAATTCGAGCGTTTTCCACCATCTATTGTCAATTCCGGTAGCCCCATTAATATACCAACGCGTGCCAACGCCACTGCTACGCCAACATCCATTGCGGCAAAATCATTGGACAGCAGCAATGAGAATTCGCCATTGGATTCGTCAAAATCATGCAAACTCAATGAAAGCAGTTTGCCAAACCTCTCTACATTGTCGCTTGATGAACTGAAGCAGCTCGACACCGATCCGCAATTTTTCGATGATTTTATTGAAGAAATGTCTGTTGTACAGCATTTGAACGAAGAGCTTGACTCAATGATCAATCAAGTGGAGATAATATCACGTGCGTACGAGATTTTTAATTAAAATTCTAATTAAATGCTTTTTTTTTTGTAATTTTTTTTTATTTATAGGTGAAAATGAATCTAAAGAAACGCATTTGGTCGAATTAAAGCGCAAACTAAGTGACGATGTTACTGCGCTTAAAAATCTCGGTGAAAAGTGTGATCAACTAAACAAAAAGTACTTAAAGAAGTCAGAGGAATACGCACCGCAACACATACGCGTAAATAATTGTTATTTTTTTATACTTTGAACAGGGTATATCAAGTTTGCCAAATTTTATAGCATCCAAAAGGAAACGTCGGAGACGCTATAAAATATATAAATATATGTAAATGATTAGCGTGACGAGCCGTGTCAATTTAGCCATGTCCGTCTGTCTGTATATACGCGTACTAGTCCTTCAGTTTCTGAGATATCGATTTGAAACTTTGCAAGCGTGCTTTTCACTCTAAAAGCGCTGTTTTTTTTGTCGGAACCGCCGCTATCGGACCACTAAAACCTATAGCTGTCATACATACTGAACGATAGAAATTAATTTTTTGTATGGAAAACTTTTTTATTTGACAAGATATCTTCACGAAAATGAGTATAGATTTTTGTCCAAGGCAACATTACCAATTTCGCAAAAATTCCAGATCGGACCATTATACCGTACAGCTGTCATATAAACTGAACGATCCCAATCAAGTTGCTGCATGAAGTTTGACATGAATTAGTTTCCAAGGCAACGATACAATCTCCGAACAAAATTTTTCAGATTGAACCAATATGCCAAACAAACTGAACGCTCAAAATAAAGTTTTTGTATGGAAACTTTTTTTTATCTGTGAAGGGTATTATAGCTTCGAACAACCGAATTTAAAATTTCTAACTGTTTTTATTTGTGAAGATTATTATAACTTTTTTTGTTTTGTATACAATATACCGATATAACATAATCACACAACTCTTAGTATATGCTTACTTACACTATAGGAATTGCTGCAAATTGCCGCCTCAAATGCGGACAGCGAATGTGATCGACACGTAGAGCAATTTCTTAACGGTAAAATCGATGTGCAAACATTTCTAAATAACTACACGCATTCGAAGAAAATCAGTGCCGAGCGTAAGGCAAAGGAGGAACGCTTGGGGCATCAGCTGACGGCCTTAGAGCGCGCCGCTATGTAAGCCGACAGTCGCTCTGCATCGCAGCATATTTGTATTAAACATGTACTTGCCTGCAAGTGATTTAGCTTTTGTAAGACATATAGCCGTTATATAGCAATTATGAATCTTGCGCAGCGCGGTATTGCTTTTAGTTTGAGCTACTATTTGTAACCAAATGACCTGCATATAAATTTGGTCCAATTGTATTTGGTGTCAAGTAATGTTATTAGTTAAACATCAAAATGTGTGGTAGTGTCCAACTCATGTAATTAAAAACAAACAGTAAATTAAAAAAATTAAAACAATTTAATTAATTTACGCTCAATCATAGTCAAACAGTAAAACTACACTTAAACTTATATTAGTTGGATTTTTTTCTTGTAAAGAAAAAATATAAATTAAGTATATGAAATATATTTTTTGTTTTAAATTATTGATCCGTTGAAACGAATTCCATTTCTTTGACTACTACTGAATGAATAAAAAAAATACGCTACGCGAAGTAGTGAGTGCGTGCGCCGAGACGCGTTCTGCGCTCGTAAATAAGCGCCTAAATACATACATACCAATATTGTGAATGAATTACATTTATTTTCCTACATTTGTGCAAATATTTTGTAGTATTGTAAATGCGTTATAATTATAAAACATAAAACAAAAACGAAAAAAAAAGAAAACTAATATATTGTGATTTCATTAGAAACTTAGTAATAAGTAGAAATTATTGGCAATAAGTGTATATATTATTTATTGCAATAAATTTAATTCAAACCAAAATATTAACTAATTTGTTATTATTGTAACGTTGTGGGGATCCGATTTATAATTAATATAAAATATATTTTTCTGCGTGCTTGTGTTAGCTAGTCTGACGGAATTATAAATAATATTTATTTGATAAATAAACCTATTTAGAAACCTATGACTATAAATATACATACATATGTATATGTAAATGAATGACTGCTGTATAATTCATTTCTGTTTTAGAAAAGGTGATACGGGTCGTATGAGTAATATCACGACAATCCGTTACCTTTTGTTGTGGTTGTAACGGTTGAGCAGAAACTATTTAGGTGGAGAGGCGCAAGTTAGTTGTAATTAAAATCAACTAACGGGTAGCCCAGGAAACGTGCTGTTTCGATGGGGTCGGCTCATAGTGAGAGGGGTGAGGGATTCATAGGGCATGCAAAGGGATGGTTAGAGTCATGCGGGCACGCATTGTGCGCAGAACAAATACACATATGTATATTTGGTAATTCGGGGTCTATTCTGTTTAGAATACAGTATTGAGAACGAAGTTGTGCAAGGATCACTCTAAAATAGCGAGGCAACTCAAGCTTTTCGTCTGCAACTCGGCCGGCCGATTGCCTGTCTGAAGTTAGTGGCCTTTTTCGTGGCCGGTTTCGCTTAAAGCAGTTGATTGCAAGGATACTTTCTATGAAAGCCTCTTATCAGAAACTGTCTAAAGAGGAGCACATTGGGTTCTTTAACCAGAAGCACGTTTTCGACGGGGGACATCAAGAGAGATTCTGTGATAGCACGGAGTGTGGTATTCCGACTTATGTTTATACCATATGTATCTTCTTCAGCTGTGTCCTACTGTTACCAGGACCGCAGTCATTGTAAAGCTTATTTGCTAATACCACTCTCATAGAAACCCTCGTGCCTATTGGCAAAAAACTAGTCGATTTTCACAAGCTACTCTTGAAACGTATGCTTTACTAGCAACATCATTCGCCATGGACAGGAAAAGGTAATAGTCACTTGGTGCCAGGTCCGACCTATCACTTTTATAAAAACTTATAAAGCTTCTAGGAAGTTAGTGAGGATGTGTACGGCCTGGCGTGATCTTGTTGGAGCATAATTACTCTTCTACTGCCCAAAACTGGTCGCTTTTGGGCGATTGCTTACGGTCCAATTGTTGGCAGTATAGATCCGAATTTAGAGTTTGGTCGTGAAATATTTAGTGTTTGCATAAGGTCGGACTCGACGATTTCCGTTATTTGATCGATATTTTCAAAATGTGGCCTTTTTAGATTATGGTGCACCTTTGACATTAAAATTTCTGCGAGCAATCACTGTCTGACAAGTTTTTCTTGCAACTAAGCTTATCTTTCTAACATCATATAAGAACCTGATATGATTTATATAACGCCAGATGCATATTACTAAAGCCATTTATTAAATTTTTGTACTAAATCTTATATTAGCCGCCTTCTATGCATGACTTCTCTGATTGCTAAATAACAATAAAGTTATTCAGTTGTATCCGAGACAGTTTCTGGTTACCTCAATTAGGTGAAAAAGCCGCACTCTTTTTCTAGCTTTTTTTATTATACCAGTTGTTTGTTCGATTCGTTATTTTTAAACGTTTGCCAAATGGAACATTGGTATTTTAAACTTAGCATTTCTTTAACTCGCGTTTAAGATGCACAAATTCTGAGATGTTTGTATTTACACTACATACAGTCATTACGTAAACAAGACTTGTATTTTTGAAAAGTTCTTTTTGAAAACTGGTATAAAAATATTAAATTTAAATTTTTGAAAGTAATTCGAAAAACATACATCTATTCTTCTTTAGATTTTTGTTAAATTATTTCCATACTCATAATTTTTACTTTCCTTTCTGCTACTCATAATATAACAAATACATTTATAAATTCAATATATTCAACATACATACGATACACATGTACTTGAATATAAAATAATTTTTTCATCACTTGCGGTTGGTTTATTTGAATGCCCGAAATGATATAAGGTGTTAAACGCCTATGAAATAGAATATAATTCAAGCTAAGAGAAATAAATAAATAAATAATATCATCAACTACCATATGCACCTGAAGAAAATATCCACAGTTGACCAATCAGTTCTAAGAAGATATGAAGAACATATTGTTTTAGAAACTGACATAGAAAGGCCTCACCTTGAAAAGAGCCTATCTTCAACATTATTCTCGAGAGTGATGGGAAGACTGTTGTTAAAGTTTTATAAAAGAGCAGGCAGTTTTTGATTTTTTTATCAAAGATCTAGACACATTTTCCATAGTAGGATCGAGTAAAGCTCAAAGTCAGTTGACGTAAAAAGTTTTGACTATGCAAATACCCGAATTCTTTTTATAGTTCACCAGCAATATTAACTGTATTAAGCCTGTCGTATCTTTGGTTCTATGGAACCTCGTGTGTTTTATTGGAACTACTTGTAGATACACTGTGCCAATCGACTTACGCAATTAATTAAAAGTTTAATAATCTAATGCAATCATCAAGCTACAATTGATTAGATAGTCACCATGAAACAAACTTTGGAAAACAATCGAGAAAACCCTATCGATAACCATCGTATATTTGTCGATCAAAACCGCCTGAATTTCAAACTAAGATTGGCTAAATGACATTGTGATTCGTTGTGACAGAGGGGAAGGCACAATGGACCTAAGGTCGCGGTGCAAGCCTCAATTTATTACCATGGTAGGAAGAGTCTCTTGTGGTGTTCGAAAAACTATGTCGCACAAAAGATGATGGTAATGATGAGTTGAAAAAACTGTGTGCCGACGTAAACATAGAATAATTACTTAAAAACCTCCCTAGTTATTTCGGGTATACCGATGTTCAAGATCTGGAAACGAAACAGCCGGAAATGGAGCATCTTCACTTTCTATTGCAGTGACGATAAAGAAAACAAAGAAACTTTTGGTCTTTTCCGGTCGGAATTACGTCAATTAAGTGCAAGTTTGCCTTCCGAACTTGACTCCGGCTTTATTCCAGCAATCTTTTCTATTCTTGAGACTCATAACAGTTGAGGTATCACGCCTTACTTCTTCATCTCGTGCAGTTTTAAATATTTTTGAAATTTAGATCACAGCGGAAGATTGCATGGAGTGGAAATGAAGTGGGAGACATGTTACGTCACAAAGGAAATAAACTGTCCATATATTCGCCTTCTTTAGTTCTTTAGACGTCACTAACTAATGTATTTACCTGTCAGACACTGTTCAAAAAAAGTAACGGTCATTCTTGGGAACTTAAATAAGTAGTTTTCGTAGCTGTGTGGGTAAAGTGCGTCGCTGCTAAACTAAAATACTTGGGTTACATTACCGTTCAAAAAAAATTTGAAAAAAAAAGTTTATTCGATAATATATAACCGCGTGGTTTCTCCATCAGTAGTTCGGAGAAGTCTTAAAATTTCTAGAGACCATCATTGGACAACATCAGCATGCATACTATATATACAAGAAAGGACGTAAAAAAAGCTCAACGAAATATGTAGCGAAGATTTTAGCGTTAGGGTATTAAAAAAAACTATATAATTCAAATTTAACGGTTAAAACGCCGACTTTATGCTACCTGTAACATAACCACAACAGTTTCCAAATTGGCAGCTAACTTGCAGTGGAGCAATGAAGAGAGTAACGAGTACGAAATGCCATTTTCCACTGAGAGTGTACCGGAGCACATAACCACAGACGTAGAGAAATATGAAAATAGTACCCCCACCGCCTAACCAACTCACTTCTTCAAGCAATTTTCAGCTGATAAGCGCAAACTGCGCAATGCTTTACAAATAACAACAACAGCAAATATAAGCTACTGGAGCTCACACCGTGGACTCCATGCCCACAGCATAAGCCACCGCATACAGCAACAGCGTTGACGCTCACTTTGCAGTTTGGAGCAACAACAACAATACATACCTTTAATAAGAGCACACGACATTGTTGTGGAAAATCCGAAAATGTTCGACGTGCGCACTGTAACGAGCGCTTTGTGTGGCGACGAGTCTAACGGCAAATGAAAACGAAAAATTGACAGTTGTGGCTGAAAAGCGAAACGCGAAACACGTCTGTTAGACGAAACGGAAATAATTGCAGTGAAATAACAAAATTTGTTCTGAAATTGTGAATTTTTACTTTTACATATGTATTAACCGTTATGTGTGTGCAAACTTTGTTAATTGAAAACGAAAATATTTTTTGGTGTTTGAAGAAAGCTGTCTTGAGTTGAAGTGACGTACGTGCCAACACAAAAGTGTAAGTGTGCTGTGTTGTTGCCAAAAATATGCTTGGCTTGTAAATAGTTACATACATATGTATGTACGTATACATATGTACTCCATGTATGTCAAAGTGGGTGTGCAAGTGTCATTATCCTTACAACAATAACTGCTGTTGAAAAGTCGAGCAACAACAAAAAACGCTTGTGCTTGTGTACGCACTTATAAGCACATACATAAGAGTCATTAAAAGTTGGAAAAATAACAAAAAATTAGAACAACAATTTTATAAAAACTACGCAGCTGAAATATTTTGCTATTTTCTTCTTTTTTTTTTGTAACATGCGTTGATGTTTTTAAAGTGCGGAATTCTACTTGTGGCATACTAATTTACATATATACTACATATGCATGCATAGGCATAAATTAAAGCTTATGTGCATATACAATACATGCCTAAGATGGAATAATGGCAACGCACAATAAATACGCGATTTAATTATTATTACTTTTTTTGATTTTAAATCAAAAATATTTTTGTTTTGTATGTATATATTTTTTTTTAAATAATTGTTTAAGTAAAAATACTTATTGTTCATTTAAAAATTTTTTGTTACATATTTTTTGAAACAACTATGTTTGCATTTTCAACTTTAAATTTTTTTGATACACTATTTGAATAAAAAGCTTTTAATTATTAATTTTTTCGTTAAAATAATTTAAATATTTAATATTTTTATATATATATAAACTTTTGACCAAAGGATTTTTATTTTAATTTTTAAATTGTTTTTATATATTCATAAAAAAGTATTCCACAAATTTAAATAAATAATATTTTTACTACTAATCTTCACAATTTTTTTTGTTTTTTTTTTCAAATTGAAAAAAAAATTGTTTTTTTCGTGTTTACAATTTTTTTAAATAAAAATATTTTTGTTATTAATTTGTAAAATCAGAAATATTATTGAATTAATTGTTAATTTTTTTTTCTTGTTTAGATAAAAAACTTTCTATTTCCATTTACAAATGTTTTTGTTGATATATTTTAAATCAAAAATATTAATTTCTTAAATTTTACATATACACATGCATATTTTGAATAAAAAATAGTTTTATTTTAATTTTTAAACTTTTTTGTTGATATTTCTTAAAACAAATTAATTTTATTTTTCTTCTTAAAAGTTTTTGGAATATTTTTTAAAAACAAAGATATTGGTTTTATATATCTATGTACATATATAAAAATATTTAAAAATTTAAGATAATAAATTTTATTTCTATTCTTAAGAAGTTTTGTAAAACATTGTTTTATTTTCATTTACAAGTTTTTAAACAAAAATATTTTTATATTAGTTTTAAATCAAAACTATTTTTAAATTAATTTTACATATTTTTACAAAAATTTTTTTAACAATTTAAACACATTTTTAGTTAAAAATTTTTGATTATCATTTATAAAATTAAATATACATAAATGCTATGTACATTTTAAATACAAAATATTTTTATTTTTTCTCTTAAAAGTTTTTTATACAATTTTTAAAACAAATATATTTTTTATTATATTTTATGATTTTAACACAATATTTCATTCAAAATATTTTTTTTTACATCTTAAAGTTTTGGAAACCAAAAATATGTTTATTTTAATTATTTAAACTTTTTCTTAAAATTTTTTAACACAAAAATATTTTTATATTGAGTTTTATTTGTTAAATTTTTTCGAAAACCAACATTCATTATTTTCATATAACTTTTTACATCATTTTTGTTTTAATAAAATTATATTTTGTATGTTTAAAATTTTTGAATACAAAAATTATTGTAATATTTAAAATTTTAATTAAATTTTTCGAACAGATACACTGTTGTTTAAATTTTTAAATATTTTTATCTTCTCTTTAAATGTGTATTGATAAAAATACGCGCTCAGATTTACTATTTTGATTCTTACTTATATACATATATACATGTATATGTTATAATTTTCGTTATTTCCTACTTTTCTACTTCTTTCTCAATTTTGTGCGTCTTCTAAATCGCCGGTCTTGTGTATTTTTTGTTGCTTGTTTAGCCAATTGTGGGCATAGAATTATCAACAGCAGATACTACTACTCAATAAACGTCAGCAAGTGTAAATAAAAAATTAAAATAAATAAAAACACTCAAATAATAAAAAACAACAAAATATACTCTAACAAAGTCAACAAAAGCATCTGTGGCAACAGTCAACAGCAATCATTGCGTTCAGTGGGGTCAATGACGAGAACGTCTCATTGAATTTGTGAACTGGTAAAGTAAGTACATAAAAATTAAAAATAAATCGTTATATAATAACATGGAAATACTTCTATATATTGTATTATAACGGTAGTGCATACACTAAAACCTCACTATTAGTGTATGCAGTATTTGTGTTTTCAAGTCGAATTTGTGTTTCTGTGCAGCTTTTGCTATACATCTTATTTTAAAGAAGTTATCTAAATGTTAACCAATGTTTTCTAAAAGAATTTTTCTCATATATTTTATAAATAAAAAATTCTAATTAAAAATTAAATTTTTCTTCTGCTATAGCATATATAATAATAATGTATAAATCTGGGTATGTTCCGGTAGTTAAAATACAACAGTTATGGGAATGGAAATGGTGGAATGAAATATAGTACAGCTAACCTAGCAACCGTCATGTAAAAAAAATATATAGTTTTACTACTAAATTCGACTAGAGAACACCTCAGAGACTTGCTTTCGCTGAAATGTCGAATATTAAAGAAAAAATTTCTTCAAACAGCGGACGAAGTTACGTGAAAGAATGGTGGGTCAAATTTGTACTTATATTTTTGACCTGAAAAGGCTGAAAACCATTTCTAAATAATTCTAAATTCCTGTTGGTTAAATCTAGTACCCTCTATATTCTATATACAAGTTTAGAACTTTATTTCTGTGTTTAAACTTATGGAACTAATTTAAGAATCCGCAATAATTTGATAGTTCTTGATGTGATATTTATAGTAAACTGTAAACTTTTTTTCTTTGAAGCTTCCAGAAATCTAAGAGGATTTCGTTGGCACGAAAACAAAATATATAATCGTTTTATAGATAACTTTGTAACAAGCAAACTATAAATAAAAACAATTTCAAACAGCTGATTGCTGTGTTATCATGTAACTGCAAATTTTCAAGCTTTCGGCCACGTTTCCCGTTCACGTTTGTAATATCCTGAGTTGCGTTAAAGCTTCCGCCAATGTCATAACTAAATTATCTCATAAGTGTTGTCGATAATTCAAATATTTAGGAGTATATTTTTCATTCAAGTGCAAGTTTTAATTTTTAGTTTATACTTTTATTGAAGATTAGATGTTCAGTCACTGGATCCGGATCCGGGTTCAAGTTTCAATTTTTAGTTAATACTTTTATTGAAGCTTCGATGTTGAGTCACTGGACCCGGATCCGCAATGTAGTCTATCTAGTATAATAATACCAAGCCATTTTCGTTCTAAAAATATATTACCAAAATGCAAACACATAATTTGTTTTACTTATGACGTTCAGTAATTTCGGCATTTTTTATTAAAAAACACATTTAAACAAATAAACGGGCAGACAGATAGGCAGTACATATTTTTTAAGTGATAGATAATATACAAACAAAAGATGAAGAATCATTATGCTAAACAAAATTGAAAGAGCTTTGTTAATTCAAAATTTGTGATCTCAATTTAATTTCATTTAATTTTTAATTAAATTATATATGTATGTACATTAAGGTGATTCTTAAAATCAAGCTCAGTCGACTTTTTAGCTAGTATTAAGTAACAAATTTAATTCTGAGCTTCCATGAATTTGAACGGCGCACAATTCTTAAAGTTAGAATTTTCTATCAAGATTTTCAGATATTTTGACATTCAGCACTTATTTAGCTTAAAAAATATTAGCTGAATAAGGTGCAGAAAGCCAAAGTAGGAATTCCGTTTTAAGATTTTCAGATCTTTTGACATTCAGCACTTATTCAGCTTAAAAAATATTAGCTGAATAAAGTGTTGAAAGCCAAAGCGCCTTTAAGTTGTATTTGCATTCGTACTTTCTACAAACCGGATAAAAATTTACAGCGAGTGATAACTTATCAAAGTATCGAACTTAAAGCTTAGGAATCATCTATTATATATGAAGCGATTTTTATGTAGATGGTTTTCTAAATTATATTTTTGCGTAATTAATTAGCTAAAATTTGTGAGCGAATATCAATATTTACAGCTGAATAAACTAGTAAGTCGAGATATGTTGTTTTGTCTAATTTCCATAAGATTCCTAAAAATAAATTTAATGCTTTTAAATCAAAAAAGGCTAACAGATTAATCTCGACTCGAACCAATTTAATCGAATCGAAATTTAGTACATCTGTTTATATAGTATTGACAACATTTATGGAACAACCTAATAGACATATTTGATTTCTTGTGACAGCTTTAGACTACAAAATAAAAACTGATAATGTTTATAAATTATACAATAGGTTCAGAGGGTTATCAATAAATTTATTCTCCTACTGTGAATATTATTATCAATTTGATATTGTTTTAATGTAATTAAGTCTAACTGTGCAAACAAAAGCAACAAATTAATATAAGAATAAATATTTATGTGGAAGCGAGATTTCTTGAAATTTTTGTACATAATTATTAAAAAAATGATTATACCTATATTGTTATGTTATTAATATGCGATTATGTGACTTATAAAATAAGGGGTGTGCGGTCTTTGACAATTTCAAATAACAAAAAAATTTGAAAAAATCCATATTTAACATAATTTTATTCATTTGTTTGGAATTTTGTATAAATAATTGATTTTATAAATTACATATATACAGGGCGTGCCCTTTTGGCGAATGTACATAAAATAATTTACCTTTAACTTTTATATAATTGGAATAAAATTATTGAAAAGGTTTAATAATTGTTGTATATACAGGGTGTGTATATATTTCGAATATTAAATAATTTATATTTGTAGTTATAACATTTTCCATTTTGGTGGAGAATGGATCAAGCTAATATAAGATAACTTGTTCTGGTGTGAACCGTATACCAGTGAGGGCGTACTGCATCGTGCGGAACAAAGGTTAGACAGAAGGCGCAAGGTCTGATCTATACGGCGGCTGTTTTAGCGGCTCCTAATACAGCACGCCTTTCTGATCCGCACAATCCCGCCAAATACAGAGTTTTAGAGATACATTAGTTTTGCCCTTGATTTGGCTAGTTGGCCAGGTTTTGCATATAATTTTTGTTTTTAGGGTTGATGTAATGGATCCATTTTTCATCATCAGTTATAGTCCGATGCAACAAGGATTTCTTTTTATATCCAAATCGTCTTTCAACGTCTGTATCCGGCTGCATTTAAAAGTTTTGAAATGGCTGCTTGAGTGGCTCCAAAAGACTCTATGTTCTTCTTATGTTTGGTAACAAACTTCAACTATTAATGCTTCCAGTTCCATATCTCAGGATTTTCTTCGTCTTCCAAGCTAAAATCACCACTATTAAATCGTGCAAAGCATTTTTGGCACTGTGTTGACTTTCGGCTGAGGTTTTTTCCATATTAAATTAATGAAGTGGAACTTTACAATTCGACATATTTGATCCATTCCTTACTCTCGAAACTTCATTATTCGCATCATTTTGGTACTAGCAACGACTTAGTCCATGTTTACCCATTTGTAGATACTTGCAATGAGTCGGATTTAAAGTTCGTTCACCGAAATATTTTGCATTTTTTTACGTAAAGATAAACTATTTACCGTTATATTAAGTGATCATTATACGGACAGAGATTTTAGTAAAAAGAACAAAGGTAAACTAGAAACCGTCTAGTCCTTTTTCACTCATTTGTCGACAGTTATAATAAGTAAATTAAACGAGCATAAGATATTTAGAAATAAACTAGTAACGGTCTAGTCCTTTTTCACCAATTTGAGAACAATTCTAACGAGACAACATTCAAAAGATTTTACCCGATCATCTAAATATTCAATAATAATTTAATTACCGAACTTTGAAAAGAAATACAATCATTGACAAGCAACCAAAATATCATGCTGTAAACTGGTTCATTTGCATTGCCACACATTTTATCACAAGCAGACGACAGCTTTAAATGCTAATATCCGGCGCAATATTCCTCCCCAATTCATTTAGTATATGAAAGCATTTGAATGTGTATTTGGAGCACAAGTGGCACACCTTAAATCAATACCCCCTGCATGGAGCAGGCTAAAACCGGTTTCACACGAAGCCAATGAGTGCATAATTATGCGTTTACTCGTGCTGTTGGGTACAGTTATTGTACACGTGTCCATGCTGACAGCGCATATCCCTACTCGCTGTTATCGTGAGAATAATCAATTTCAAATTCAACAAAGAATTTTTCAAACACTTTTATTTATTTAAGCGGATAATTATGGCTCTCGCAGGAATATGGGTGTGTAGTGCAAGTTAGTATGGCACCGCATCTCACTAGATGACTTGTATGCATAACCGTTTATTATAGCTGTATATTATATGTTAGAGGTGTAGTTGGATTAAAGTGGATCAAAATTTTCGGAACTTACATTCATATGGCGCAAAAAATTTATGAAGTTTAGTCCGACTCAAACTTGAACCAGTGGATTCAAAGTTGCCAAGACTAACCATCAGACACTGCCATCTTCTAGCTTGCCTAAAGTCTGGTATGGGTCCCAGTACCATTTATTTTAATGTGAATTTAAAAATATTGTATTGCGTCAATACTCTCCAGTGATGACTAGGGTGTGTATCTATCGAATGGATCATATTTTGAAACACTATAAATTGTTCATCCTTTAGATCAGTGCAAAACTTTTAGTTTCATTTCAAAAGTAACGTTATCTAGAGTTGAAAAATGCTGTAGTATCAGGGAAATGTGAACGCAGTTGAGGATTGATTTTAAGGGTCAAAACATTTTTACTTCACAATTAGATCTTTTTTCCATGAAGGAGTTTCGTGTGTGTAGTTACGGGTTCTTTAGCTTTAGACTAGTGGTAATATTACCCGAGGATTTTTTGTCTACTTTCAAGTGATAACAGTTTGCTATGTGATCAGCTACGACTACACAGTAGTTACCAACGAGTATGGCAGAGTCAAATGTAAATAACGTACTTCAGTTTTGCATTCGCTTAGTAGCTAAAAAAAAATACATCTGAAGACATAAAGGACAGAAAGCTATATCCGACTTCCTATGAGCTCAATTCTCCTTGTGTGCATTTTAAGACGCTTTATCGACTTCG